GGCTGCTGGAGATTAATTCACAGACTCTGTGGTCCACTGTTTCGCAGCACAGTAGGTACTCAGCAGTTAAGGGTTTTAGTTTTGCCAAACTCACTCATGTATCAGACTGTCAAACATATTCATGGACATAATTTACTCCTTTTTGAAACTCCTTACTTTAGCTTTAAAAGAGGACACATAAGAATCAATGCAATAAGACGATTTCAAAAGAAGTACATCCTGATGGTAGAATGGCCCAGGCTGTAATTTCCCTTGGGGAGGCTGCTGGGGAAGCAGCTTGGCTTCTAGTATAAATGTAGGACGCCTAGCAACTGAGATTACAAATTAAAAAAAAGAACACACTTTCCTTTCTACTGATAACTTTTAAAAAATATATTCTGTATTTATGCTACAGAAAACAACCCAGCTAGAGTATATAAAACTCAAAGATATGGGGTGCCTGGGTGGCTCAGTGGGTTAAAGCCTCTGCCTTCGGCTCAGGTCATGATCCCAGGGTCCTGGGATTAAGCCCCACATCAGACTCTTTGCTCAGTGGGGAGCCTGCTTCCTCCCTCTCTCTCTGTGCCTGCCTCTCTGCCCATTTGTGATCTCTATCAGATAAATAAATAAAATCTTAAAAAAAAAAACCTCAAAGGTACATTTTTGTTGAATTGGCTTACTAAAATAACTAAAGTCTTTAATACACTATTTTAACTACTGTATTTCTACTACATTTCTTAGAAACAAATGTAACTAATAACCAAATACCAAGAATTGGTGATATTTGTGAAAACTAATTCTCATTAGACATTTAAATCCTTCCATATTTATGGAGGACTTATATAATAAATTATTATTTTTATTGAGTTATAATTGACATATAACATTACATTTAGGTGTACAACATAATGATTCAATATTTGTATATATTAGGAAATGATCACCACAATAAGTCAACATCCATCCCCATACATAGTTGTAAAATCTTTTTCTTATGATAAGGTCTATATTAAAAGTTATTGATGCAAAAAAAAAAAAGTTATTGATGCTGGGGGCACCTGGGTGGCTCAGTAGGTTAAAGCCTCTGCCTTCAGCTCAGGTTATGATTCCCAGGGTCGTGGGATTGAGTCCCGCGTCAGGCTCTCTGCTAAGCAGGGAGCCTGCTTCCTCCTTTCTCTCTGCCTGCCTCTCTGCCTACTTGTGATCTCTGTCTGCCAAATAAATAAATAAAAACTCTTAAAAAAGTTATTGATGTCATATTAAACTTCATATTTCAGAAGTTCTCCTTGCCAGATACAGCTTTCACTCAAATTCTTTTATTGATTAAATAATATATTTCATATGTAAGTTTACTATGTTATACTTCATAATTTCCTAAATTTGGAATTAGTCACAGTAACATCATATTATTGCTGCAGCAGAAATTTGCTACCTGAAAAAAAGTTATTTTACTTAAAAATTTTGCCTAAGCCAAATATAAGTTTGAAGAGCAGCAAAAGTACAGAACTTGGTAATTTTCTGGAAGGATGGGGAGGAATAAATAGGAATTTACAGATTCTAGCTTGAGAAACAGCATGGTTAATGACACCATTTACTGAGATTAAGGTTTGAGAGAAAAGAGTTACGTGTAAGGGTGTTTTGGAAGAGGAAAACAATGAATACAGTTTTAGTTGTGTAGTTTAAGGTGCATGAAAGACATGTAAAAGGAATTGAAAGAGTCACTTTAGGACCAGTGACACACGGAAGACCCCATGCGAGAAGCCAGACAACTTGCAGCAAGTGGGACTCCAATTCCCTCTGAGAACTACTATCCCAGTGAGGCAGTTTTCAGTGGTTCCCTCTGTGATGAGCTCACTTAATGGATGCAGATGACGGAAACCCTTTGCCTACACTGTTGGGTGGTTCCATAGACCCAGTGGCAGTTAACTTGAGTAGCTTATAACCATCCCAGAAGCCTGTCTCCTCCTCAACCAATGCACTGGGAATGTCTCAGTTCCAGCTGATCTTAGAAGAAAAATGCTGCCCCAATGTCCTTTCACTGGTGCTGAGATGACACCCAATCTATTTATCTTTTACTTTTTAAAAATATTTTATTTATTTATTTATTTGAGAAAAAGAGGAAGACAGAGAGAGAGTGTGAGAGAGCACAAGCAAGGGTAGCAGCAGAGGGAGATGCAGAGGGAGAAACAGGCTTCCTTCCCACTGAGCGGGAGCCCAATGTGGGACTCCATCCCAGGACTCCAGGATCATGAGACCTGAGCCAAAGGCAGACACTTAACTGATTGAGCCACCCAGGAACCACTATATTTGTCCTTTAAATTCCACTCAATACAAGTTTGGATGCTTTACCCCTGAACAGACAGGTCTTTATCTGAATTCTGATAGTTCTTTGTAAATATGTCTACTGGAATTTTTATCATGGATATTCTGTAATATCTATGTAATTTTCTCTTCCATCAGGCTGTGAGCCCTTGGGGACAGAACATTTTTTAAAATTCCTAACATTTTAGTAAATTCCTGTATGGTATCTTACAAAATATTTAATGTATGAATGTAGTCTGCTGCTTAGTTACCCCTTGAGGTGGAAAATTCTCTGTTATTGATAGAAAAACAATCTGAAATAGTGTAGTTCCATTCCAGCATTGGCCTCAGCCTGTATTTCTGGTTTAGTGAAACTTTTCATTCAGATCTTGATAGGTTGTGGAGCTTTAAGCTTTAGGGACTTCAATTTTTTAATGCAAACCATCAGAACCTTACAGGCAGATTCCCAACTAATGCTAGAGGCAACTGATAGCTTGGAGTTGCCTCTTAAAAAGTAAGCCACAAACTCCATAGAATAGGGAAGGATGTTGGAAGACACTAGAAAATTTCTTTTTGTTCTGTTTTTTTAAGATTTTATTTATTTATTTATTTATTTGAGGGAGGGAGAGAGAGGGCCAACAGGGGGAGAAGTGGAGGGGGAGGGAGAAGGAGAGGGGGAGAATCTCCAGCAGACTCCATACTGTATGCAGAGCCTGACCTGGGGCTTGATTCCATGATCCAAGACCATGACCTGAGCTGAGACGAAGTTTGGACACTCCAACGATTGAGCCATCCAGGTGCCTCTGAAAAATTTCTTTTGATATGATTCACTTGTCTGTTGCCCCGTGGTCTTGCCATTCCAAAGGCCTCACTAGCAACAAATATATTGATGCAGAAAGCATTCTTTGCAAGGATTATGGGCTGCACTAAGCACCACAGAAAGAAAGATGGCATCATCTTGTTGGTAAAACATAATACAAAGACTTCGTTAATCGAGTCAAAGGAGGATCATGTTATAACGTCGAATCTATCATCTACTCTTTTTTTTTTTTAAAAGATTTTATTTATTTATTTGACAGACAGAGATCACAGGCAGGCAGAGAGGCAGGCAGAGAGAGGAAGGGAAGCAGGCTCCCTGCTGAGCAGAGAGCCCGATGTGGGGCTCGATGTGGGGCTCGATGTGGGGCTCGATGTGGGGCTCGATGTGGGGCTCGATCCCAGGACCCTGGGATCATGACCTGAGCCGAAGGCAGAGGCTTTAACCCGCTGAGCCACCCAGACGCCCCCTATCATCTACTCTTATTCAAGAGAAAGGCAAATGCAGACTCCGAGAGATGAAACATATGGTCCTTGTTCTGGGTAGGTTGTTTGGGTTTGGAAGTCAGCTCAAGCAACCAGGGGCAAGGAGGGATGAAGGTTGAAGAAAGGAGGTAATTCTGAGGATACACAAAGATAAAATAAAAAAGCAATCTCAAAATTCATGGGAACGGGAGCTAGAAACCCATTAAGAACCACCACAATGCTCTGGGTTCAGATTTCTCTCTCCTTGAGCTTGTCCTGAGCATTGTCCTGTCCCAATACCAGGTTATGGCTCCTATGGCTCCTTACAGCCTTTCAGTTTCTGCTCCTCCAGTTCACTGTCAGGTTCTCAGTGTTTCCTAGTTCAACAAGCCTTGAACTAGCTATTTGCCTTAGTTGTTGTTATTGTTATTGTTGTTAATATTATTTTGGGGTCCTAATGTTCAGGATCATCAGGAAGCCTATCAACAGAGTGTCCTTTGTGCTCTTAGCTGTCACCTGAAGTGAGGGACAAGGGGAGACCAGGTGGTACACTATGGCTCCCTGAGTGCAAGGCTATTAGCAGGGGTTGTAGGTGGGTAGTTTCCTCAGAATTGGATAGTGTTGTGCCGGCACCATGATGTTCCAATGTAATGCAGAGGTGATGTCCTTCATATCCAGGCTGCCAGACCTGATGGTGTGGACACCTCTATAGGAATTCTAGGTCTAAGAAAGCATGGGGGAAATTTAGACTTGTTGAATACCTAGGGTCATTATGTATGAATTATGACAAAATTGTATATCCAGGTACCTACTCCAAGAAAACTTGAGTGATCTAAAGGTCTAACTCTGTAAGATTTATCCACATACATTCTTGACACGGTATATGATTATTCCCAAGTTATGTAATTGAACATTTATTAAAATATTTAAATTTAATCTTATTATCAACTAGTAGGGAGTGAAAAGTGAATTAGAAATTAGTATTTATTTAGCATTTACTATATATATTGGATACTTTATATATTATTTCATTTCATATTTAAAACTTAACCTACGAGGTACCATTGTCTTCATTTTACATTGAAGGGAACCAAGACTCAGGACACTTAGATGGCTTGCTCAGGTAGTAGGTGTAGAGGCAAGATTTCAACCCAGGTTCAATCTGACTCTAAATTTGTCTTTCCACCACAGAATGCTGCTTCCCTAGAGTGGATATGAATGGCTCAGGAGAGTTGATAAATGTTAAATCATCTGACTTAGTAAAAGTGAGTTTGAGTAACATTTTAACTTCATTCTCAGGAGGGACCCAACAACAGAGCACTTAGTTGACACTACATACATAATCTAGGGTCTACGAGGGTACCTCAAAGAACATTTATACACACACACACACACGTATTAGAAATGACTTTAAAAAGCAGATCTTAGCTCAAAAAGATAATTAACAGTTACCCTTTATTATTCATTAAAAATGAGCTTTCTAAAATATTAGTAAACTTCCTTTTTAGCTCTCTTTTGAAGTTCTGATACCAGTGAAGTAACATTTTTCTTCTTTGAACCTTTTCTTGCAAAATGAGAGTTTTCTCTTTTTCTAAAACAGCAGGAAGTTCGTTCCAGTTCTTAATAAAGATAAAGGGAGCATCCATGGACTTGAGTAACTGCAGAGGAGCATTATGGTAAACGGATGTATTTCCACAGCTGCCAGCTGTCATTATATCTTCTACCACAGGAACAGAGCCATAGGAGCAAGCCTCGTATATTCTGTAACATTCTGTGTTTACTCCTACCGGGCACAATGTGAGATCACTCTGAAGCAAAGCATCTTGATAATTCTTAAGGCTTTCATTTGTTTCCTGAGGCTGCCACCTAAAAAATCAGAAAAACAATTGTCATTTTCACTTTACTAAGCATGTCTTTTGTGAGGGAAAATGTCAGCTACAGGAAATGGTGAACACATTATAGAGAGGACAGGCAGAAGACAGAAATAAAATCTTGCCCAAATAGATTTCTTAAAAATATTTAAGAGTTTGAGAAGTTTACAGCGGCATATGTTTAAATCTAATAGTCACCATAACATTTCTGAATGAATGTTAATCCAGCCAATATATATATATTTTAAAGATTTTATTTTTAAGTAATCCCTACACCCAGCGTGGGGTTTGAACTCACAACCCCGAATTCAAGAGTCTCGTGCTCTACCAACTGAGCCAGTTAAATGTCTTCTGAGGGCCAGGTTTTTCTCTAACCCACCCTCCAACATTGTGCTCTTACAGAGCTTACATTCTAGTGCCAGTGATAGAGATGGATAGTAAACCAGTCAGTCAGTATGTTATTTAGGTGTTAAATACTATGAAGAAAAACAAAGCAGAGAAGTGAGGAGGGGGTTTCTGAACTAGTAGTCGCGGTTTTAAATAGGTTAAGCAGGGAACGTCTCAATGCAGGAGCATCTGAGCATACAGTGGATGTGAGGCAGCAAACCAAGCAGACATTTCAGGGGAGAACCGAGTGCAGTGTTAAGTACAGATAGTGTGTGCCTGGCAAGGTCAAGGTCAAGGAAGAACAAGGAAGAGCCAGGCTGGCTGAAGCAAGGTAACTGAGGGGGAGAGGGATGGAGGATAAAGTCAGAGCAATCTATCGTGGAAGGCTGTGATCACAGGGTGACTGACCTGACCCACGTTTTATCAGAATTAATCTGACCTTTGTGTTGAGAATAGACTGTATAGGAGCAAGGGTAGAAGTTGAGAGACCTCTAGAAAGCTTCACATTCTCTCCCGACTGTTCCTATTGTCTCCGTGAAATAAGCGATAGGGTCAGAGGAGAGAAGAAGAGAAGAAGGTATAAAATAGTCTTGTAGGAGAGGGGGAAATATATGGATAAGGGAAACATCTGATTGCTGGGCACTTGAGAGTCAAGATCGTGTATTTAAAGCAAGGTCTGTTGGCATGATTCTGTGTGTTTGTGTGTGTGTGTGTGTGTGTGTGTGTGTGTGTGCGCGTGCGTGTGTGTTTGGCTGCATGGTGCAGGTATGGCGCAGGTTAAGAGAGCTGGATTTAACTAGAGTTAGGGTTTGCTCCATTAGGGAACTAGGAACTATGTGTATCAGTCATAGTTGACTATGACCATTTAAGTGGGGAGAAGAAGAAAGTAAAGATGAGGTGAGCAAAGGCCAATGAAAAGGTAGTAAGAGGGGCGCCTGGGTGGCTCAGTGGGTTAAGGCCTCTGCCTTTGGCTCAGGTCATGATCCCAGGGTCCTGGGATCGAGCCCGGGATCGAGCCCCGCATCGGGCTCTCTGCTCAGCAGGGAGCCTGCTTCCTCCTCTCTCTCTGCCTGCCTCTCTGCTTACTTGTGATCTCTGTCTGTCAAATAAATAAATAAAATACTAAAAAAAAAAAAAAAAAGAAAAGGTAGTAAGAACAATGAATTATAAATCCCAGCTAACCTGTTGGAGTCAGATATTTACAGCGAGTGAGCTGGAATGACAGAAAATGGTGGTTACAGAGAGAGATGCTGGAACCTGAGATCACAGAGAAGACGAAGTATGTGTAATGATAAAGTCTAAGAAATGAGCATGACACTGAGTGGCCAAGGCCAACTGGAGGACCAGATCATTGGAAGACAGGGGTAAAGGACTATAAGACAAAGGTGAAAGAAGGACCATCTACGTAGATTGGGAATCACCAAGAATTAGGTTGGAGTAACATGGGAGAGAGTGAGAGTGTGCCAGAACTAAACTCTTCACAGAGCTAAGGAGATAAACCCCCGGGTCAGTAAATGACTTCAAAGAGGAAGAACAATGGATGGTTTTGTTGGATGGTTGTTTACTGATATGATATTCAAAATGGGAGGTTTTAGGGAGGGAAAAAGGAGAAGGGTCTGGAAGTAGCAATGAGAAAGAAGCAAGGAGGACACCTACTCGACCTCCAGGCTCAATACTATAAGAGGAATTACAAGAATAATTCTATTTCTACAATAAACTTTGATATTTTACACTGCCCTCATTCATCCCTTTCCTGGTATACTGTCCCGCTGTGGCTCTTTACATTTGCTTTCCCTCTGCCTGGACTACCCTTCTCCTAAATAGAAATGGGGTTCACTCCTGCAGCTTCTTCCGGCCTGTGCTTCATACTGGAGCTTTCCTCGGCCATTCTAAAACAGCAGATGCTCCACTCCTGATCCCTAGTCCTCTCTACATCCCTCCTCTGCTCAGCTGTTTTTACATGGCATCTATCTTCTTCTGACACACAATACATTTTACTGGCTTGTCTCCTCCAACAAACATTTCAGTTCTAGGAGGGCATGGACTTTTGACTGTTTTGTTCCCTGCTGTATCCTTCAGGGCTGAGAGAGTTTCAGGCATATAGCAGTTGCTTAAAAAACAGTTGGTGACTGAATGGATACAGTATGGTTACACTAACTCTAACTCTGTTGTTTGAGTTGGCAGTTATGACTTCAAAAAGAGAGTATGTGCTACAGTACAAATACAAATCTGTATACAGATACAAAAAGAGAGTATCTGCTAGATCTGGAGGGACTTAAGACATTTCTTCTCTGATGACTGTACACATGAAACTGCATTTGTTTATTTAAAAACAAAAGGAATAATTCCAAGATTTCTCCTTTACTCCATGAACACCTGTTTTCATGGTTACCGTGCAAAAGATGGAAGAAAGTTAAATTCATCCATCCATCCAACTATCACTCCCCATTTATCTTAGGCCTATTTTGTGTAAGGTCCTATGTTAGATCTGGGGATTCAGAGAATAGTGTGTCCTGTTCTGTCCTCGGGGTGCTGTCAGTTCTGTAAGTTGTAAGAAGTACTTCATACCACTCTTGGAACACTGAAACTGGTCTGCCAAACATCTCAGGGATGAACCTAAGGTCTTACTGGCACTCATAATCACTTATGTGTCAGGTCTAACTAACAAATATTGGGGAATCTTGAACAATTGACATTTGCATAGGATAGTTACTAGCATTCCTCTAAAGGATGGACTATAGCTATAGGAGATTCTCCCAATTTTAAATGCATACAACCCAGTTTCTACAGAGCCTTATTGACTGATATATCTTCTGCAGGAAGACTGGTATTAATGAAAATAACAATGTCTCTTTGGAGACCTGTGCTGCTGCATAAAGCAACTCATGGACTGGAGAACAAAATGGGTGAATCAAGTAAACATAGAACTTACTGTTCTCTTGCTGAAACCCAACAAAGCTTATCGTTCCCATCTTGTTTCAAAATGTTCATCAGTGCTTGTCTGGATGAATTTTCATAAACAGTTCCTAAGAAATTACATAAGTAGGGCCTTTCATTATGCAGCATTGACCAACTTGGCTCCACCAGAGGAAAATTCCTGTATCTACAAAAATAAGTACATACGAGTTAATAGTATATGACAGTAGGATTGGCAAGTTATCGTATAACCTAACACCTTAGGTAGCATGATGATGCAGAGAGGAGAGATTTCAAGTGTGATTTTCTAAACCTCAAACTGTAATTTTCCACACTTACTGTGGAAAAGTCCCTGAATCTACTAATTAAAAAAAAAAACCTCACATTGACATCTTTTACAAAACTGCCATAGAGATTAAGTGTCTGAAATGGTTCTTTTAATACCTTCAACTTCCATACACTTGTAGTTATAAGGAAGGTTGAATTCAAGACCTTCAAAGTATATATAATCCACATTCATAATGATGATGATTTAATGAATGTTTTAATGATGGAAAGATTACAGAATACACATTTCTACAGCAAAGGGCTCCAATTTCCCAAAGGCTTTTAAAGTAGATTTTTAAAAAAGAGCTCTTACAGGCTGATTTTTTTTTTAAAGATTTTATTTATTCTTCTGAGAGAGAGAGTGAGAGAGAGCATGAGTGCTGAGAAGGTCAGAGGGAAAAGAAGACTCCCCATGGAGCTGGGAGCCTGATGCGGGACTCGATCCCGGGACTCCAAGATCATGACCTGAGCTGAAAGCAGTTGCTCAACCAACGGAGCCACCCAGGCGCCCTTATAGGCTGATTTTTAAAAAAGATTTTATTCTTTAATTTATTTACTTATTGGGGGAGGTGCATGCATGCAGGGAGGGAGGGAGCAGAGGAAGAGGGAGAGAGAGAATCCCAAGCAGACTCTGTGCAGAGCGCACAGAATTCCGATGCAGGGCCGAATCCCAGGACTCTGAGACCATGACTTGAGCTGAAATCAAGAGCTGGATGGCCAACCGAGTCATCCAGGTACCCCGAAAGTAGATTAAAAAAAATTGGGGTGCCTGGGTGGCACAGTCAGTTAAGCCTCCAACTCTTGGTTTTAGCTCAGGTCATGATCTCAGGGTTTTGAGATAGGGCCCTGAGTTGGGCTCTGCACTCAGTGTGGAGTCAGCTTAAGACTCTCTCTACTTTTCCCTCTGTCCCTTCCCCACACAGTCCCTCTCTCTCAAATGAGTAAGTAAATCTTTAAAAAAAAAAAACCCTATCTTTTAAAAAAATAACAAAAAATATTTTTAAAATCTCTCATGGCATACCAAAGAGGCCTTTTGCAATTGACCTATTCTTATGGGCATTTGGAAATATTAGAGACCTAACTGTGTGCCCGAGATACAACCTTCCTATAAGGGTGAAGCTTTATATAATATTCTATAACAGGTTGTTTCAACCTTTGCATTACTGACATTTTGGGCTAGATCATTTTTTGTTGTGGAGGCTGTGCTCTACCATGTAGGCCATTTAGTAGTGTCCCAGATGCTATTGTTGCCTCCCTCTTCCACTTGTAACAACCAAAAATTATCTCCAGACATTGTCAAATGTCTCCTGGGCGGCAAAACTGCTTCTGGTTGAAAACCACCAGATCTATAAAAAGGGTATTGGTCTAGTCCAACAATAACAGAATTACAAAGGGTTTTCATCCAATGTATGGAAATTGTATGAATGGGCTACATAGAGTTACTGTGAAAGAGTAATTTTGTTTCAGAGCGTTTTACAAGTATGAGCTCTACTCAAGGGATAGAATTTTCAGAGTCTTGTATCTTGCTATACCGAATATAAACCTTTTTGTCTGATGCTACCACAAACCTACTAGATTGGAATACTGTAGGGTGGGCTCTCAAATATGTCTTGTTAATACCTTCTCTGGTGATATTTGTGTACCCAACTAAGCAATAGTTTAAGATCCCACCTGGTAACAAGTGATGAGTGAATAAGGAATATCTGATTCAGAAAGCATGTTAATGAAATTTCTTGTAATTCATCCATTTGACAAGTATTCATTGTCTACTCTGTGCAGGCTTGGTTTTAGACCCTGCCAATACAGTGAACAAGAGACAGAACCCCTGGGGTTTATATACTAGTGCTGGACATAAGTTTAACTTCTCTTAAAGTCAACTAAACACCCTTCATTAACAGAAAGATAAAAAATAAGCTTCAATTTTATAGAAAGATGTCACAGACATATTTAGAAGCCTTTGTTATTACTTAATTAACCCCTCTTATTAAAGAAGAGATTTGTGCAAGTTCAACAAGTCTCAGTGGCAGCTCTGAGCATATTATGATCCTCTCAAATCCACGGTATGGAATCCTTCTGATTTAATACTGCTTTTCTAAGTTTTTAAAAAAATTTTATTTATTTGTCAGACAGAAAGACCGAGAGAGAGAGCACAAGCAGGGGGAGCAGAAGGCAGAGGGAGAAACAGGCTCCCCAATGAACTGGGAGCCCGATGCAGGGCTCAATCCCCAGGACCCTGGCATCATGACCTGAGCTGAAGGCAGATGCTTAACCACCTGAGCCATCCAGGCACCCCTTAATATTCAAGTAAGATTTTGTTTGTTTGTTTTTACTATGAATTATATAGATTGTATAGTTGTTTTAAGAAGGTCTGCCTCTCTGCCATTCTCTGTTAGACATCTCTTTAGGGCCCTACTGATAAACTTGAAATTCATCCTATGCCTTGGAGATTTAAAATACAAAAAGCTAACTTATCTGCTTTCCTTATAAAATGCTAAAATACTCTGGGGGCGCCTGGGTGGTTCAGTTGGTTAAGCGTCTGACTCTTGATTTTGGCTCAGGTCATGATCTCAGGGTTGTGAGATTGAGCCCTGAGTTGGGTTCTGCGCTGGGCATGGAGACTGTTTAAGATTCTCTTTCTCCATTTCCCTCTGCCCTTCTTCCCCACTCACTCTCTATAAAACAAACAAACAAACAAACAAAGCCTAAAGTACTCTAAAAATATCGTTATTATTATTGAAGCATGAGACCAAACCAGATTTTTTCCATGGAAAAGATTGTACTTGGCCTCCCAGATGATCCCAGAACTACATTTATTACAAATTTAAAGTACAATATTCCCGATTCAGAAATTCAGGTCTTAAAGAATCTATATTTCTGATTCAGAAATTCAGGTCTTAAAGAATCTATAAGTACCTAATAGTATTTTGTACTTACGTTGCCACTCCTAAAGGCCACTGAAAGATATCCACATCATCAACCCAGGGGCTGTCATATATTATGAAAAGCAGCTCCACAAATCCTCCATTTCTTTTGAGGAACTGGTTTATCCATTCATTATTACAATGTTCATTCCCAAGCAACACAACGGCGAGATGCTGGAGTTTTTTAGTTTGCACCAAATTTTGTGCATAAAGTAGCCACTGGGTGGCATAAAAGATCTTAGCCTTTTCTCTCCCATTTAGAATGAGTACCACGTTATTCACATCTATGGGAAAGTACCCTGGGACTACAGCTGGGCCAGTGATGAAGCTGTTAAAACAATACAACAAAACAAGAGCATGAGACAAAGAACAAAGGTATTTGATATCAGAAGTTTTTAATCATTTTACATAAAATCTACAGTGAGATGTAATCTGTATTCTTTCTGGAAACATAATTTCTATAATGCAAATTTTCCTGAACAGGTTTGAATGATAGAGCATGGATGTAAATCAATGGGAAGCTTTGGTTGTAGTAAGATCAACTGCATATGATAATCAGAAATGTGGTAGCTTTGTTGTTACTTTTAACCACATTCAAAATACGTGCTGGCCAGAGTTTGACCTGGTAAACTATTCACAGCTGAATTGTGTGAAACTCTGTATAGTTTCTCCTCTGTATAGTTTAAGTCAGTGGTTCCCACCTCTTTTATGTGGGAGTTACTGTTTCACTCTTTATCTGAAGGAAGGGTAAGTGATGAATTGGAGGTGAGAAATGGAGGTTAAGTGAGAGATGGAGGGTGGCATTACAAACATCCACGGAGGTTAAGTCTCAAAAAATATGATAATTCTATGTATATTTGAAAGTATGATATAAAAAATTGTGCTTAAATCTAGTATAAGTATAAATATAAAAATATGAATGGGAGGATACACATACACACCAGATTCATTACAGGGGTTGCCTCTGAGGAAGAGCAAGAGAAAAGGAACTAGGGAATAGTACAAAGAAAGCTTCCCTATTACTGGGAATATTTAATTCTTTTTTTTTTTTTAAAGATTTTATTTATTTATTTGACAGAGAGAGAGAGAGAGATCACAAGCAGGCAGAGAGGCAGGCAGAGAGAGAGGGGGATGCAGACTCCCCGCTGGGCAGAGAGCCCGACGTGGGACTCGATCCCAGGACCCTGAGATCATGACCTGAGCCGAAGGCAGTGGTTTAACCCACTGAGCCACCCAGGCGCCCCGGGAATATTTAATTCTTTTAAGAGGAAAGTTAAATGTTGGGGCGCCTGGGTGGCTCAGTGGGTTAAGCCTCTGCTTTCAGCTCAGGTCATGATCTCAGGGTCCTGGGATTGAGCCCCATATCGGGCTCTCTGCTTAGCACGGAGCCTGCTTTCCCTACCCCCTCTCTCTCTGCCTGCCTCTCTGCCTACTTGTGATCTCTGTCTGTCAAATAAATAAATAAAATCTTTAAAAAAAAAAGAGGAAAGTTAAATGTCTAAAGGAAATATGACAGAGAACTAGAATTTGTTGGTTCTCCAGGATGGGTAAATGAGAATATGTTCTATTATTCTCTGTGAAAAAGCAAGATACAATATTGCATCTATAGTACAATTTTAATGACATAATACTAGACATAGAAAAAAGACCGGAAGTAGACATAACAAAATGCTGTCTAACCTTGTTTTTGGAATTCTGGGCACGGTGGAATTATGAGTGTGAAAATGTCTTCTGGCTTTTCCAAGTTACTATAATAACCACTTATTAGTCTTTTAAATTATAAACCTATCTTAAAAAAAGAAAGATGTAATAAAAACTCTGTTTTGCTTTAAACAACACTATCTCTTTATTAACTACCAGCAGGACTGGCCTGCAAAGGGCAGTGGATGCTCTGGGTTCAGGGTCTGAGTAGGATGTGAGGAGGAGGTGATGATTGGGAGGCTGCTTTGAAGGAAAGGGGGTGGTCTGAAGGGCAGGCCCAAGAGACCCTTAGATTTACTTCCTTGTATAGGAATCATGGAAAGCTATGGCCAGGCCATCAAAGAAGAAGAAATTCTCGGAAATCTAGCTGCCCATCATCCATTTTCTTCTTCATGTGGTCAAGGACACCAGAGTCCTTCTAGTTCTTTGTGAAGGCAGCCAGTTCTGTATTCATAAATGTTAGGAACTCTGTCTTGGAGACTGTGCAGTTGTTACCCCCCTTTCCAGCAATCAGAGACTTGATGCACTAGGTAGGGCTGGACATTTTTGCCATGTCTTCATGGAGTGTGTGAGTGGCTGTGACCCTGCAGCAGTGGCACTGCCAGAAGTTTATTTATTTTTAAGTAATCTTTACACCTGACATAGGGCTCAAACTCACAATCCCGAGATCAAGAGTCACATGCTCCATCAACTGAGCTAGCCAGGACCCCCTCGCAGGATTATTTTGAAGACTAAATGCATTAACAGATGTACAGTGCTTAGAACAGAACCTGGCACAAAGGAATCACTATAGGAGTCTTGCTGCTGTTATTAGTTTTATTACTTTTACTATTACTTAAATAGGTACTGCAACATCTCCCTACCTTCCCTTCTCCTTTCTGTTTCCAGAACTGAATATTATCTCTCCTTCATGTACCTTCACAGAACCTTATCGATACATTCTTTATATTAATATGTTCAGTTAGGTTACAAGCAAGCCTGGGTCTCATTCTGTCTCTTGAAGGAACTTTGCCTATTTCTACTCATATCTATCGTATATTGATTTACAGTTTAATTTCATAGGGCAACTTCATTTTTAATTTCTTAGGAGGAATCTTACTTCGCTCTTCATGGCCTTTGCTTATCCTTAAAAGACTGCCTTCTGAGTCCTGTAATGTCCATATGCAGGAATTATCACAAGATATGTAACTAACTGTCCATCCGTTTGATAAAACAAAAGCTAGATGCCACATTATTTAATTTATTATTATCAGAGCTCAATTATGGTATTTCAATTAGCATATGCTGCTTTAAGAAAAAGTTGAAAAAAAAGTTGAACTTATTTCTAAAGATCATGACAGAGTAAGTTTTAATTTACATTTCATAAAATTCACCCATTTTGGCTCAGTTGGAGAAGTGTGTGACTCTTGATCTTAGGGTCAAGAGTTCGAGCCCCATGATGGGATAGAGGTTACTTAAATAAATAAAATCTTAAAAAATATAAAAATCTGTTTACTTCTCAAGAACAATTACTTTGAAAAGATACATGAAATGAAATTGCTTTCCAAGCGTGTAAAAAGTAAACAAGAATTAAAGGAGCAGAGAAACTTCAAATGAAATTGAGATTAACCATAGCTTTTCTTTTTGATTTCTGTGGGAAATAAGTGGAATCCTAATAGAAACCTGAATCTTTAGTTGACATTGTTTCCCCTAATAGTACAATTGTTACATAAAATAAGCATTTTTTAAAAAAGATTTTATTTAGTTATTTGACAGACGGAGATCACAAGTAGGCAGAGAAGCAGGCAGAGGGAGAGAGAGGAGGAAGCAGACTCCCCACTGAGCAGGGAGCCCGATGCGGGACTTGATCCCAGGACCCTGAGATCATGACCTGAGCCGAAGGCAGAGGCCTTAACCCACTGAGCCACCCAGATGTCCCTGAAATAAGCATTTAAAATGATTTTTATTTCAACAAGAAAGCAGAATCTAATAGAAAATAGCACTCTTTCTTGAGCAAAATTACATTTTTTCCTAAAGAAAATAATCATAATTCTACCTACGTAAAAATCTTTAGAAAATATGGAGTCATAGGTAAAAGTTTTATAAAAATAAAAACTTCAGATGTCTTAATGATACATTGGTTTTACCGAATCAGGAAAAAAAAAAGAGAGATATTTCTGGGGGACCCTGGGTGGCTCAGCTGGTTAAGTGTCTGGATTTGTTCAGCTCAGGTCCCAGCTCAATCCTGGGATTGAGTCCTGCATTAGGCTCTTTGCTCAGTGGGGAGTCTGCTTCTCCCTCTGTGCTCTCTCACTCAAATAAATAAACAAAATCTTAAAAAAAAAAGATTTCTGAGTAACTGCATTAAAATGGCAATCTATACCATCAAATCATGAACGAATTCATATATAAGCGTTTTTATAAAATTTTCACAACTCTTAACAATAACTGCTACCACTTGAGTATTATAAAGTATGTGAACATGACTAATATATGAAAGAGAAAAATGAAAATATTTTTAAGATGATATATTATTCAAGATATGGAATATTAAATGCTTATCAACAATCAAATGTTATAAAATTTGGAGCATGAACTTTCCCATATAATCAGAAATGTTTTGATAAAAATGAAACAGACAAAATTAAAAAAAGGAAGTATCTTGTAAAATGTTCAGGTAAGCTGTAATTACAATATATATTCATGAGATTCATTTTTCTATTCACAAGTGGAAGTGAAATATTGTCTCTAAATAAGTTTTCCTCTTTTCTCCTCATATTTACATAAAACATTGTATAGAAACACAGCAAACCTTAACGTTGCACAATTAATACCTGTAATGTGTTCTTCCTACAACTGAATTTCCTTCTCTCCACTGAGCAGTCACATCAGTGGGATCAAGTAAGCCTTCAAAAATATGCTCCCAGAGATACAAACCTGGTAATTAAAAAAAAAAAAAAAAACAAGAACAAGCCCATTTACTGTCTCGTTTACTATGGTGTGTAATGAGTTTATGTTCTGCTCATTTATATAATTTATAAATTTATATAATTTATATAATTTATAATAATTTATATAATTTGACCAGGAAAACAGACTATATTCCTTTTTGGTCCCCTGGCAGGCAGTTCTGCCAAGCAATAGCTCAAAATCATCAATATGGCGGTTAATATATGACAGAACTCAGAGGTTATCAGTGTGAGATGTGGCAGAATGCAGGTTATATTAAAGACAATAACCTCTCTTACTCTAAATCTGAGAAACCTATTACTACCTATTTTATCCCAACATGTATTATAATGTAAGTTGCTACATGATTAGAATGTTTTCTGTATTATAATAAACTAGGGGAATTCATCATTTTTTGCCAAACACCACCAGAGGAGCTCCTGTATCTATGCATAGAGTGAATACATTAGGGAGATAGTAACTCCTCCTCACTTGAACACACACCCCTCACGGGATCATGTCCTCTGCAAACAAATGCCTTCGCATCTATCTCCTTAGGGTGGCTCCTGATATTTTACTGTCATTTCACTGGAATGAAAGCTCTGAGAGTAGAGGAAAGCAGAATGAAATAATCTGGGAGCCCTGTTTTACTTACATTGTCAGAATTGCTTTGCTCTAGTCTCATTATGCCCCAGTACTAAAGGACACCCACAAAATAACTATTTAAACACCTAGCCAAACAGATAAAGCTTTCCACGTGTGGTGGCCCAATAATGCTTCCCTGTCCACCCAAGATGTCCAGAGATGTAATCTCTAGAATCTATGAATACATTATCCTACATGGCAAAAGAAACTTTTTTAAGATTTTATTTATTCATTTGACAGAGAGAGAGAGAGGGAGAGAGAGAGAGCAAGCGCACAAGTAGGGGAAGTAGCAGGCTCCCAACTGAGCAGGGAGCCCAATGTGGGGCTCGATCCCAGGACCCTGGGATTATAACTTGAGCCAAAAGCAGATTCTTAGCTGACTGAGCCACCCAGGCACCCCTGAAAGAAATTTTCTATGTGTGATTAAGGACCCTGAGATGGGGAGGTTATCCTGGATTATCTGGATGGGCCCTAGGCAATCATAAGAGTCCCTACAAGGATGTAAGAGTGTCAGAGTGAGGGGAGGAGGTATTAGGATGGAAACAGAAGTTGGAGTGAAGCGGGGCCCCGAGTCAAGCAATGTCACAGAAGTCAAGGAAACAGATCTCAAGAAGCTGCAAAAGTCAAGGAAAGAGATCCTCCTCTAGAGCCTCTAAAAAGAATACAGCCCTGTGGACATATTTTAGACTTCTACCTTCAAAAATGTAAGATTTAAGTTTATGATGACTATAGTTAATAATACTGTTTTATATATTTGAAAGTTGCTAAGAGAGTAGATCTTAAAAGTTCTCATAACAAGAAAAAAAAGTATAAGTGTGTGTGATGATAGATACTAATTAGACTTATTATGTAGATAACTTCACAAAATACAAATATCTCAAACCGTTATATTGTACACCTGAAACTAATATAATGTCATATGTCAATTACATCTTAATTTTTAAAAAGATAATAAATTTGTATTGTTTAAATTCACTAAGGTTTTGGTAACTGGTTATGGCAGCTAAAGGAAACCAGAGATTATGGTATCTGGAAATGAGATACTACTATAACAAATATTTTGAAATCTGGAAGTGCCTTTGGAATTGGGCAATGGGGAGAGGCTAGAATTTTGAGGAGCATGATTTTAAAATGCCTTAGACAGGTTATAGGTAGAAGTATGAGTGCTAGTGACTCAGCTAGTGAGAACTCAGAAGAGAAAAAGCACAATAGAAATAAACCCCATATTGGTTTTTATAAACATCTAAGCAGACTGTGAGTAGAAATATGCAGGTTAAAAGTGCTGCTAGTGAGGGCTCAGAAGGAAATGAGGAACATATTATTAGAAACTGGAGAAAAGGGGATCCTGCTTATAATAGCACCAGAATGTTTAGCTGAATTGTGTCCAGAAGTTGTATGAAAAGTGGAATGTGTAAGTGATAAATTTGGATATTTAGCTAAAGAGATCTCCAGGTAGTATTGAAGCTGTGGTCTGGCTTCTTCTTGCTAATTATAGTAAATGTAAGAGTGATTGAGGGAGGAACTGTTAAGGAAGAAGGAGACGGGACTTGATGATTTGGGAAAGTCTCAGCTTGTTCAATTGCAAAGGGTGGAAAACTAGGAGATTCACTGTCAGGAATGCATGTTTCTGAAAGAAGGTGAAGGATGTAGCTGAGTATTTTTTGCTAGTGCCTCAAAAGGATAAGAAGGTTAAAATATTCAGTCACATAGATATTAGGTGTGTAATTCATGGGTCTTCTCAGCTATCTCAGCAGAAGCCAGAAACAGAGATGAGATTCTCTAGGAAAGACCTGGAAGAGTTCTTGTTTAATAGAGTTAATTCCTGTGACATACCTAGGAGACCCACAAACTTCTTGAAAATGTTTTATCAGCAGAAACACTGCTGGCTTGGATGAAGGAGATGGAGAGATGTTGAAATGAAAGAAAGGTACTGATTCCTAAATCCTACCAGCAGGATACTGGCTGATAAAACCACCCAGCTGCAAGCACATGCTACCATTCATGACAAAGAAAGGATGACTGCAAAGGTAGAGCTGTTAAGACCAGAGGCAAAGTTTTGAGCCATAATTCCCAGGCCTTGAAACCTAATAGTTTGCCTGGCTGTAATTTAGAATTGATTGGACCAGTGATTTCATTCCCATCCTCCCCCCTCTTTTTTTTTTTTTTTTTTTTTAAGATTTTATTTATTTATTTGAGAGCAGGAGTGAGAGCAAGAGAGCAAGAGACAGATAGAGTATAAGTAGGGCAAGGGGCAGAAGTGGAGAGAACTCTGCACTGAGCACAGGGCCCAACACGGGGCTTAATCTCACGACCCTAAGATCAGGACCTGAGCTGAAATCAAGAGTCTAATGCTTTATTGACTACACCACCCAGGTGCCCCCTTTCCCCTCCTTTTTGAATAAGAATGGAATTGGAATCCCATGTACCTGGGAAGTTGATGAAAAGTAGTGTTTGATAAAACTCATCTCGTCACTTTGTGCTTACTGAATTGCAAAGAGAAAAGGCTGGAAACATGAAAACCTGTAAAGATGTAGAATTAATTAAAAACTAGAATGGGGAAGTAGGAATTTAAAGGATGAAATTAATATTAGAGATTTTGTAAAGAAAAACGTTGCTAGAACCTGAAGATTAGAGCCTGGGTCTAGATACTTGAAATTTGGAGGTCAGTAGTAATCTTCAAGGAGCATATTTGATGCAAGCATGAATGAATTTATGAAACACTAAGGTCAAAGCATCATTCTCTGATTACTTCCTTCTCATCTGGTCCTTTCTACCACTATCCCTTATTGTAGATAAATCCAACTCATGTTTAAAGGTCTAACAAAGCCCTTTTTAATTCACTAAATTCTTTCTGACTCTTGTAGTCCTCATTTAGGGTCCCATTCTCTAAGCATAATATATAACTTGGAACTCTAGAATCTCATGATACTCAGAGCAAAATGCTTTTATGGGTATTCAAGTTTAATTAACTATATCCTATATCCCCCTTACATATTTATAATGAACAGTGGCATATTAAGGGCTCTGAGAATGGCCTGGAATAAAGAACCTTGTTTAACTTTGTTCATTTCAATGTTTCCCAAACTTGTTTGGCCATCAAGGGGAGGGGCCACATCTTATATTTGTGTGTCAAGTGTCCAATAAATACATAAATTCATAAAAATTCAGTTGACATAGGCATTTCTATATAATGATGCTTATATTCTACTTTGTATCTACACATAAAGCTGTAATCTTCTAAAGACCCACAACAGATTTTTGTGTACATGTGTGTATTTACATAGATATTGTCTAACAGAAGTCAGAAATGAAAATGTCAATGAAAAGTAAGAAAATGTGGGGCTCCTGGGTGGCTCAGTGGGTTAAAGCCTCTGCCTTAGACTCAGCATGATCCCAGGGTCCTGGGACCCAGCCCCGCTTCGGGCTCTCTGCTCCCCAGGGAGCCTGCTTCCTCCTCTCTCTCTGCCTGCCTCTCTGCCTACTTGTGATCTCTGTCTGTCAAATAAATAAAATCTTAAAAAAAAAAAAAGTAAGAAAATGTGTCATGATGCTTTAATTAACAAATGAAATAAACAATGTATTAAAATGAATTGAATTTAATATTAATAAAGTACATTTAGGATTCTTTTTACATGTCTTAGCTCTATACATTAACTTACCAATGGCAGCTTTCCCCCAGATTTGTACATGGAAGTCTGTTTTCCCTTTTGTGGATTTATTTAATATCTGAAGGCTAGTTTTAAATCTCTGTTGTTGCTCATTTTTTTCATCTCCTTCCCAAGGATTCCATTCTTCACTTCCCAGAGTAGACTGTTCTGTGTTTTAAAAGAGTAACAAACAATGTTTATCAGTAAGGTAGAGCTGTAGTTGTAGATAAATTCAAGCCATCTAAATTAGGTGTCAGGGAGTGCTTTTCATAGAGCTAAAGCAACCGAATTTGAACTGACTAAACATATACAATTAAAAAAATAGGAAATCAGAATTTAATTTTTATTAAATCTTTATTCTGAAAGATCTTAAAATGTTAATAGGAGACACAAAATTATCTCACAAATGAGACCTTCTAAAATAACTGGATAATAGGTATCGTTATAAGTTTAACATTTGCTATTCTTTATAGATTGTGTATACGTAAGCTATACATAAAAAGTTGACTTCAGAATGGTAGTGGAAATGGAAATGGAATGGAAAGTGTCCAACAGTTCTATTGAGAAAAATTCTGAAAAAGGGAGAGATAAGTCTGACTCCGATTCTGACATAGGTCAAAATACAGGACAGATGACCACCATCTGGAGGTAAGGCACCGAGGCCTTCCCAAATCAGGACAAAATTAGAGAAGGCTCTTTGTTTCAATGAGGAAATAGAGGTCTTCAACCCAGCGGCCTTCCCAAGAATCTCTGCCATTCCGTGACAACGCCTTGCAAGTTCAAGACGTGTTTCACAGGAGTGCGCGCCAGCCCGCTTTGAAGGTGGGCAGCAGGGTAGGCTTGTGAGATTCGGGCGAGGACTGAGACAGCCGCACACGCTCCGAGCCCGAGCCCGAGCCCGAGCCCGAGCCCGAGGCCAGGGCCAGGGCCGGCTACCGAGAGCTGGAGGAGGCGAGGCGCACCCTGGAGCCTGGGGGCACCCCTGGACCCGCGAGCCGGGTCAGCTGCCGCCCAGTGTCCTACCTCGGCCGCGCCTCTCCCGCGCCGCGGCCGCCCCCTTCCTTAGGCCCCGCAGAGACGCGGCCGGCGGCCCGCGGCGGCGCCCGAAGAAGACGTGGTAGGCGGCGTAGAGAGAGAAGAGGCAGTACAGGGCGATGAGAAACGAGCAAAGCCGCTTCCGCGTCAGCCGCATCCCACTCCGGCTTCCCGTCCGCCACCACCACCCTCGTGCAGGGCCGGAAGAGAAGCCGGAGCTCGGGGCCGTGCCCCTGCGGCTTCAGGTGCAGGCCCAGGCCCGGCGGGCTGGGGGGCGGGGGCGGAGTAACCAGAAATAACCCCTCCTCCTTTCAAGCCCCACCCCGGAGCTGCCAAGGCGCCTCCGCCCCGCCCCTCGCGCCGGCCCAGCTCAGGCCCCTCCCTCAGCCCTTCCCAAGCCTCTCCTAGGGCTTCGCCTCGCCCCGCCCCGCCCCGCCCCGCCCTAGGCGTGGCTTCTTCCCGGGCTTTGGTAACCCGTAGGCGTGGGTCTTCCGAACTGGACGTTGGGAGATCTCAACTTAACCGCGCGCTGCTCCTTGACCTCTGTAGTTTACCGATGGCCTCTTTCAACCCTGTCCGCCTCCCCATGTACATAAAAGCTTACCTGTTATCTGGCCATTAAAAAAAAACAAAAAACACCAACAAACCCAAACACCACCACCCACCATGATCCATGATGTCCATGTGAAGGCATGGCCCATTCTAGTTTTTGTTCCCAGAGCTTACCAGGGGGCCTACCACATTACAGATGAATGATATACATGTCTATTTAAAAAAGCTAAGTGGTGGAGTGCCTGGGTGGCTCAGTTGGTGGAACATGGGCTCCCAGGTTGGGAGTTCGAGTCCCATAGCTGGGTGTAGAGGTTGCTTAAGAATAAAATCTTTAAAAATAGAAGTTAAGTGGTAACAATGGCACAACATTGTCAGCGTAATTAATGCCACTCAGTGGTACACTTAGAAATTGCTAGAATAGCAAATTTTGTTATGTGTATCTTACTACAGTATTTGAGAAAATTGTTTTATTACTGATAAGACTTGAGTGCACACAGGCATGTAGTCTTTTGTCAAATAAAGGCTGTAAAATTTAATCCTGTCAATTAACTTTCTTTGTCAAGTCCTTGTGAAGTTGGGCTACAGTTTTTTGTCAGTTACATTTAGTATTCTTTTTAAAGTAATATCTTCGCCCAACATGGGGTTCAACTCATGACCCTGAGATCAAGAGTCACATGATCTACCGACTGAGCCAGCCAGGTACCCCTGAGTATTGCTTTGTCCTTCAACCTGTTTGGGAGTCTTGGTAGCTAGAGAGTTGTAGAACACAAGTGTGGAGTGGGTCAGAGCCTTCCACGGGCCGTGTCTTGACTGATTCAACCCTCTAAACTGATTCAGTCTTCTTCTTAACATTTCTGGATAAAGGTTCCATCTCCTTCATTAGCAAAAAACTTACCTTTCCAGAATTTTATGTTCTTGGGGTCAGGTCTCTGTCTTCTATCTTGACATGTAGATAATTTGATAAGAAAAATTTTATGGCTGGGAAGAAATTTAGGTCCAGAGGGGTGACGTGACTTGACCAACAGCTCATACTTTTTTTGATATTTGACTAAAATTCCTACATCTGTTCTCAGTTTTGTGTTCCTGACATTATCGTAGTTATGTTCTGGTCCCTCATCACAACCTTTTTTTTTTTTATATAAATTTTTTTTCGTTTGTTTGTTTTGTTTTGCTTAACAACATCAGAACCTAATAACAAACTGCTTGAGTTTAATCATAGATCTTAATGATCTAATTTCCAATTTGACTCTGAATAATGTTCGTTTGTTCCTCTAAATTAAATATATTATCAAAGAATGACTCTGTACCACAGCTGAGCATATAAAACAAGGTAGTACAAAAAGGGAGAACAAAGTTCCCAAAGTACTTTGAGTACAATCAATGGGATAATAATGTATATCCAATCAAGCTATTTTCTTACTCAAAACTGCCACTAAGTGAAGAGGTGAAAATTCCTTCACTTACAGATTCTCATTTTTGGTCTTTTCGCCAGAGAAATATGATGTGCTTTTTGTTTTATTTTGTTTCAGGTTTGGCTTTTGTTGTTGTCATTAAGAATCTTTAGAGTGATATTTTAAAAAGAAAACAGAGCATTTTTGAATAGAAATAAACTCAATGATTTGAATTTGAAGGTGTTGCTGTTTTCAAGCAGTTAAGACACAGTACAGGAAGGATCAGCTCTGAGCCATAGTGAGGAATCAAAGAAAACTTCATAATTTTCTAGCTGGAAGGATGGTGTTACTGCTTTTTTTTTTTTTTTTTTTTAAAGTAGGCCCCACACTGGGGCGCCTGAGTGGCTCAGTGGGTTAGAGCCTCTGCCTTCGGCTCAGGTCATGATCCCAGGGTCCTGGGATCGAGCCCCGTATCGGGCTCTCTGCTTAGCGGGGAACCTGCTTCCTCCTCTCCCTCCTGCCTGCCTCTCTGACTACTTGTAATCTCTGTCTATCAAATTAAAAAAAAAAAAAAAAAAAAGATTCTCTCTCCCTTTCTCTCTGCCCTCTGCCTGTTCTTAAAAAAAAAAAAAGTAGGCCCCACACCCAATGTGGGGCGAGATTAAGAGTCACCTGCTTTACCAACTAAGCCAGCCAGGTGCGCCCACTGTTACTACTGATGTAGAAGGAAAATACAAGATAGAGAGCCATTTTCTTAGAGGTGGATGATTTGTCTTTTTTTTCCCAGTAAAATTTAAAGGCAACTCAGTAATTTAGGTGAAAATGAAATGTTTATTAGCAGGATTAGATGAGACTAGAGTAGCAGGAGTGCCTTGTCTTCAGTGACTAATCTTTAGTGTATCACCTGAAGGCTAATAGATGCTTAATATGTGTTTGTAGATGATAATGCATCACCAGCCTTGGATCACTCTACAGATTTACTTTTCATAGTATCGCTGGTGCTTACTACAGGCTCTGGCATATTTTAGGTGTTTAGTAAATATTTGCCGGTTGAATTCTTTTTTTTTTTTTAAGGATTATAATTATTTGAGAGAGAGAGACAGTGTATGAGAGCAGGCGGGAAGGGGCAGAACCGGAGAGAGAAGCAGACTCCCTGTTGAGCAGGGAGCCCAATGTGGGACTTGATCCCAGGACCCCAGGATCGTGACCTGAGTGGAAGGCAGATGCTTAACTGACTGAGCCACCCAGGCACCCCTTCTGGTTGAAATCTTATTAGTATTAAAAAATACTAGGTAGATCTACTGGGAATTGAGACCACCTGTAGCCACATAGCTTAAGTATCAGAACTGAGAACTCAGGCCATCTACACTAACAAGACTTTTCTCTTGTAGTAAATTCTTGCCAAAGAGGCTAAGGCCATAAATTAATAACTAACTTCACTGTTTATTTTAGCTAATTCCTACGAACTAGTTAATCTGAACAAAGAGCTCAATCTTCATGGCAAATATTGTTTAGCTGAAATAGATGGTTTATCTGGGCAAATGCTTCACTTAGGAAACTTATGAAATTCTTTACTTATGGAAAAACATCTTGGTTATCAAGACCAAGTTATCAGAATCATTGTAATGGTGTGCCCACCTATTAGGGTGTCCACTTGTCTTTGTTTGCCCAGAACTGAAGGGGGGTCCCTGGGATGTGGGGTTTTCAATGCTTAACTCTGGGAAAGTGCCAGAAAACCAAGGACAAATTGGCCTCCATACCACCAGCCATAAGTTATTATGTCAAAAACTCTGCTCAACATCCCCCCCCCAAATTCCTTGTCTTAAAAGAGTTGTCCTAAGCCATTTTTACTCAGATGCCCATAACCTATAAAGTATCACTTGCTATCTTCTTCCTTCTGAGGCTTCTAAGTTCCTGTGAAAGCCCTGGTCTCCCTTATTGTAGTAGACTTAATAAATTTAGCTTTCTTTAATCACGAGGTTATTCTGGTGGTCTCTTGGGGGAGATGGCAGCTGTTGTATGTATATTTTTGCTTGGCCCATCTTTTCTGTGGGAGTGACAATTATTTAAAGATAGAGAATATTTATTTTATAGCTTACATAAAACACCCACTGTATCAATGTACACTCAAGTGCTACTAATGGTTTTACTATAGAGAATGATATGCAAGTTACAACTAATATGGGGTTGAGGTTGTCTTGAATAGGGAAGAGGACCATACATATGGAAGTGTTGTTTTGCTTCAAACTACAAATGACTGTACAATCTGAAAATAAATTATGGTGATGTATTTAGGTTACAAAGGAATATATCTTTGAATTGATCTCAATATAGCAGTATTCATTTTTCTTTCTCTTTGCTTTCAATGTGTGTGCTAAGGCTGAGAGCTACTTTCTGTATATTACCGGAATCTCCTCAGGCTGGGATGGGTGAGAGGAGAGAGAAGGAAAGACAAAGAAAATTGGTGGGGAGGTGAAGCAGTGTGGAAAAAGAGACCAAGTAAATAACTGAGTTTGGAGCTCCTGGGATAGGGAACCAGACCTGGGAAGGTAAAAGGTGGGAGGAAAGGTATAGATAAAGGAACATGAGATAAATTAAACTAAAGCAAGTCTAAACATTTTATTTGGTGAAATTTTCTTCTCTGTCTGCAAAAGGAAAAATTATTAATCAACAAAATATTAAGAAAGAAGTCCCAATGCCTTCTGCCAGCTGCCTCAGAAATAGTACACATTTATTCTTAGAAATCCACAGTACAAATATTTTGAGATACCTGGCCAAAATTCTTTCCTAAGTTTATCAATGTTTCAGTAATACTCAAGAAATGTATTAACTACTTTAAGAGATTTTTTTTTTTTTTTACAGCTTGGCCTGCCAGAAGTCTTTGCTTCAAACAAAGTTGTTGTTGTTGTTGTTGTTTTACAGTCAGATACTTCTGGTAGGGGTTGGCCATGTAACAACTTATAAGTCATTAACTATATAGCTATATTAAATTTATAAGAATCAATCCCAATAAGATACATTTTTTTCTGTGTAAGTATGGTGATGATACAAATAAGTGAAGAAAATCTACTGAAATTTATTGACATTGGGAAATAAGCAAAATGTAATTTTTTTTCCTTCTGAAGCTTTATTTATTTGAGATCGAGAAAGAGTGCAAGTGAGCAGGTGGGGAGGGGCGGAGGGAGAGGGAGGGAGAAAATTACAAGCTCAGAGCCAGAGGCAGGGCTTAATTTCATTACCCCTCCCCACACACACACTCAAGATCACTACGCTGAGCTGAAATCAAGTGTTAGACACTTAACTGACTGAGCCACACAAGCAACCCAAATTGTAATTTTTTTTAAAAGATTTTATTTATTTGACAGACAGAGATCACAAGTAGGCAGAGAGGCAGGCAGAGAGAGAGGGGGAAGCAGGCTCCCTGCTGAGCAGAGAGCCCAATGCGGGGCTCGATCCCAGGACCCTGAGATCATGACCTGAGCTGAAGGCAGAGGCTTAACCTTCTGAGCCACCCAGGCGCCCCTCTTTTTAATTTTTTTTTAAAGGTTCTATTTATTTGACACAGAGATAGAGAGTACAAGTAGGCAGAAGAGCAAGCAGAGGGAGAGGGAGAAGCAGGCTCCCCACTGACCAGGGAGCCCCATTTGGGGCTCAATCCCAGGATCCTGGGATCATGACCCCAGCTAACGGAGGCTACTTAACCGACTAAGCCACCCACGCACCCCTGTAATTTCTTTTTAAACAGCCAACTAGACAATTAATAAAGCCAAAAAACATAATTAGAATATAAAGACAGCACAATTAGAATATAAAGACAAGTGACATGGAAGGCAGATGAATAGAAACAGGTTCTGTGGAAACATGGCTTCTTTCGCCCATCTTTTTCTCCCTCCTGCCCCCACCCCCAGCAACCTCTCACCTTGATGTACAATTTCATCACTGCTGCAATGTTTCATTACAATTTTTGTGTATGACTTGTAATCTGCTAGCTTTAATCAAAAGCTACTAAAGATGATTACTTTTATATGCATAAATGCTACTGATATCTGTGGACACTATCTTACTACGAGCTCTCTGGGTGGGCGTCATAGCCACTGAGAGTGATTCATAACAGCTAGAACCCATAGGGCTCCATCTCTAATTTACCACTCATTTCATTTGCATTTGTTAGTTTCCTAATAATAGCTTGGAGAAGTCGACTGAAGAGCCCTAAGTGTGATATAACTGTTTCAACCTCTTTTAGTGGTTATTAGTTAAATCCTTCTGTGTTTTTTGCTTCTCTCATTTTTGTGCTTGCAAGAATGTTGACATTCGGTAAATTCTTCAATTTTGACCTCCCCTCACAAGGTCTTGATGGCTGGTTCATTTTCCTTTAAATTCATCAACTTCTCACATTTGTATCTCTATTAACTCACCTCAATCTCTTCTTTCCCAACAAAATAGACACTACAGACTAATACTGCACATCCAATAGTCTGAAGTTTACTTTTATTTTTTACAAACTTGGCTGTGTTTGTTTTATACCAGGGGTTACTGCTAGTTACCACAAATGGATTGGATAGCAGTCCATCTTTTCTTAGGACCTAGAACAGTTTATACAGCATAGAAAATACCTAATCCTTGACAGGTTCATTGTACTTTCTGCTAATATTCACTGGCCTAGAACTACTTTTAGAGATAATTCTTTAATAACAATTCATTGGCCTTACTCATGTTTGTAATACATCATGAGTCTGTTTTGGTGATTCTAATTTTCCAAGAGAACAATTTACATCATTAGGATTAAAAAATACTCAGACATATCCCTTTTCTAATCTACAATTTCTTTTTGGGGAATTTTATTTTAAATTTTCAGATTTTATATTTGATTATTTTATTATTTGCTTTCCCCTCCCTTTCCAGCCATCTTTAGATTTATTTATCAGTTCTGTTTTGCAATTACTAGATTGTACATTATTTTTTTCTTCCTTCTGTTTTCTTGTTTGTTTGACCTTTTCCCTAGTGTTTTCTTTATTTTTTTTTAAAGATTTTATTTATTTGACACAGAGAGAGAGATCACAAGTAGGCAGAGCAGCAGGCAGAGAGAGAGGGGGGAATCAGGCTTCCTGCTGAGCAGAGAGCCCAACATGGGGCTCAATCCCAGGACCCTGAGACCATGACCTGAGCCGAAGGCAGAGGTCCAACCCACTGAGCCACCCAGATGCCCCTTCCCTAGTGTTTTCAACTGGAAAGTTGGTTTAAAATTTTTTCATTCCTTCTTAATAATGAAATCATAGAAACCTATTAATTTATCTCTACAGCACTGGTCATATTCTGAAAGTGCAATATTTTTAATCTTTGATGTTTAGGTTTTTCATTTAATCTAGTAGTGATTATAGAAGACAGTGGGTATTTCATTTATTTATTTACTAACATTTTATTTATTTATTTTAAAGAGAGGGAAAAAGAGAGAGTGCTAAGGGGCTAGGGGAGGAAGAGAGAATCTGAAGTCAACTCCGCACTCAGCATGGAGATGACCCAGGGCTGGATCCCATGATGATGAGATCATGACCTGTGTGGGAACCAAGAGTAGGACGCCTAACCAACTGAGCCACCCAGGCACCCCAAGGGTGTGGGGTGTTTTAATTACCAAGTGGTAAACATTTAACTTGGCTTTTTAATTTTACCAGTGTGGTGGCTGGAATGATATTGTTTTTTTAATGAACAATTCTCTGGTTCATATTGAGTTTAAGTATCTTCTGATGTATTTATTTTTATTTTCCTCTTCTGTAAATTGTCTATATGTTTTGAAGAGTTTTCTATTCATTGTTTATATTTTACTTTTGTTTTAAAGATTTTATTTATTTATTTGACAGACAGAGATCACAAGTAGGCAGAGAGCAGGCGGGGGGCGGGGGAAGCAGGCTCCCTGCTGAGCAGAGAGCCCGATGTGGGGCTCGATCCCAGGACCCTGGGATCATGACCTGAGCCGAAGGCAGAGGCTTTAACCCACTGAGCCACCCAGGCACCCCAAGTACATTGTTTCTAATGATCTGCAATGTCCCTGTGTCATATAACTTTCTCTCTATATATTACAAATGCATTATTCTGATTTTTGGTTGGTCAATTACTTTTATTTATATTGCCTTTTATTATAAAGGCAGTCTAAATTTGGATATAGCTAAATATATCCATTATTTCTTTTATAGTTTAGTATTTGTGTGTCTGTGTGCATGCATCCCCCACCCCTTTTTACGATCTTATTTTAAGTAATTTCTACACCCAGCATGGGGCTTGAACCCCCAATCCTGAGATCAGGAGTTGCACGCTCCCCTGACCCAGCAGCCAGGCACCCCTGCATGCTTGCATTCTTTAAGAAAAACTTCTCTGGACAATTCTGTTAATTAAAATTGTATTGGATTTCTAGAATAATTTGGGTAGAGGTGACATGTTACAATCTCAAGTCTTCCCACCTTACAAGTTATCCCAATAACAACTATGGATAGACCTTTTTTTTTAAAGATTTTATTTATTTATTTGACAGACAGAGATCACAAGCAGGCAGAGAGGCAGGCAGAGAGAAGGGGGAGGCAGAGGCAGAGAGAACCAAAGGCAGAGGCTCAACCCACTGAGCCACCCAGGCGCCCCTGGATAGATCATTCTTAAATGACTGATCTGTAATGCTTCTTCTGCAACTTCAGGCTTTCTTGTGTGTGTCGCTCTACTTCTGATTTCTCTGCTTTTCCTGTGTCGTTTACTAGAACTGTAAACATCTCCGTTACTATATACTCCCTATCTCAGAACTACAGCTTTATGTTAAGTCTTCACATTTATAGGGCAAGTCTCCCTAATCTGTTCTTCTCTTTTTAAAAAACTGTCTTGGCTATTCTTGGCCTTTTGCTTTTCTCTGTACATTTTAGAATTAGCCTGTCAAGTTTTACTAAAAAACCCTCTTGAATTGTAATTGGAATTTTATGGCATTTATAGAATAATCTAAGGATAATTGACTTTTTATGAAGTATTGACTTTTTAAGTCTATTTATGGGATTCAAATTGTGCCCAATTTAAGTCTATTAGAAGCAATACTGTAGTGTTTGTCCCCTTATGGCCATGTGTGATGTGTTTTGGGGCACAACTCCTGATATATACATGTCAATGGAGGAATGTGAAGAACATAATACTGAGGGACAAAAATGAAGCACAAAAGGAAGTGTATAGTAAGATGCCATTTAAGTCCAACTTAATGTGTTCCAACAAAGCATTATAATTTTATCCATAAAATTTGCATATCTTTTATAGGTTTTGTTTTTGGTTTTGTTTTTTAAAGATTTATTTATTTTAGAGAGAGAGAGAGAGAGTGAGAGCAGGAGCAAGGGGAGGGGCAGAGGGAGAGAATCTCCAGCAGACGCTCTGCTGAGCACAGAGCCCAACGCAGGCTCCATCTCATAACCCTGAGATCATAACCTGTGCTGAAACCAGGGACCCCCAAATAGTAAAATACTTGAAGGCCTTCAGGACTCTTGGACTGATTTACATCAGTAAGAGAACCTGTTTTAGATGGAGTAAAAGAAATGTGTTCTTCTCCAATTACAGTTTTTTTTAAAAAAGATATTATTTATTTGAGAGAGAGGGCGGACATAATCAGGGGTAGGCACAGAGGACAAGGGAATAGCAGGCTCCCCACTGAGCAGGGAGCCCGACTCTGGGCTCCATCCCAGGACCCATGAGATCGTGACCTGAGCCAAAGGCACACACTTAACCGACTGAGCCACCCAGGTGCCCCTGCAATTACAGTGTTAAGCTCCTGTTGGCCAACTTTGTCAGAGGGAGGCCACAAAGCATCATCTTCTGTAATTTCACTATCATCAATAATTCTCTTCAGTTCCTCCATTATATTCTTGTGCACGTAAGCCTCCTTTCTGGTCATGACACCATTTCTGTAACTACTGTTGTTGGCATACCTAAGCTTTCTGTCCAGAAACTCATGTCCAAACTTGCCCTCGAGCTCTATCTTGTAGCGCAGGTGGAAATCACTGGCCATACCATTTCTGTTCCTTCTTTTTGTTTGTGTTTACAATTTAAATCACTCATTTATTTTTACCTTTTCTGTTTTACTTTACTTCAGGTTTGTGCCTTCAAGTGGTACATAGTTGGTTTTTACTTTTACTTTTATTTTTATTTTATTTTAAAGATTTTATTTATTTATTTGACAGACAGTGATCACAAGTAGGCAGAGAGGTAGGCTGAGCAGAGAGCCCGATGCATGTGCATTCCAGGACCCTGGGATCATGACCTAAGCCGAAGGCAGAGGCTTTAACCCACTGAACCACCCTGGTGCCCCCGGTTTTTACTTTTTAAATAGTATTTGCCTTTCATCATGGGACTCTAAGCCTTTTGTGCATGTGGTTATAATTTCTATGTATAGTCTTCTGGTGTCTTGCTTTATATCTTTTATTTAACCTTGCTCTTTCTTTTGTTTTTTATCTTTGCCATATAGATGTTCTTAAATTCGTTTTTATCTTTTCCGATTTGGAAGCAATTCTGTAACTGTTTTTAATTTTATAATAGTTTTTATAACTGTTGTTTTTAGTGAAAATAATTTTTAGCATTTATTTCTACAGTTGTCAAAGAAAAAAATAAATGACATATTTTGCTCCTTTTCTTCCTAGTTTTTGTGAGAATAACCTGGGTTTAGACTCAGATGTCACTGAATGACTGATTTGACATTCTACATTCTATTTTTCAGTACATGGTGGTAGTAGAAGGTATTATTGTTAACCAGTATTTGTATCCCTTCCCCAGAGGAGAATATATACTCTTGCCCTGTTAATTAACTTCAGGTGTGAATACAATTGGCTTTGGCTAATAAAACTTTGAGCAGAAGCATCGTGCAGGACTCCCAGGCAGAAGCTTTAGGAGGCAGCATGTGCCCTGCCATTCTCTTCCCTCTGTCACCCTGACTGGCGTGTACTGGAGGGTTTCTTTGCCCTCATCGTGGGCACTGCTGGACTGAGGGTGACTATTATGCAGGGCCCCACTGTTGATCAGTTGAGGACACATGCTGTTGTGAGAAGAACTAACCTCAGGTGTTGTAGGCCACAAAGAGCTTAGGACTGTTTGTTACCTCAGCATGATCTATCTTCTCCTAACTGATACAGTGATGTTTGGAGAAGTGTCTGACAAGATCTTGGGAGTTTGTTTGCCTTCAGAAAATTAATCTGGTAAAATCTATCCACAGTGTGGTGATTCGTCTATTTTGGTAGTCAAGCAACTGATTGTCTTCTGGAATATCCAAGAACTGTCTTGGGGCAAAGCAGTTCTGCCTCACAGTTCAGGAATTAGTAGTCTCCTCAAGAGATATAGGTAGAGAGGCCCCTGAGAACAAAGTATTTAAATTGAAGAGTTTTGTCCTTATCCTGAAAGCAGCAGGAATCTGGTGAATGGTCTTAAGCACTCATTTATTCATTCAACAAATACGTATTGGCCAATGACTCAGTGCTCCCCACTATTTTTAGTGATGACACCAGCTGTGAGCAAAATGAGTTCTTGCCCAAATGGACCTTCCTTGTGTCTAGATGACAAGCCACGTCCCAGACACTGTGATAATACAAGCATAGCCAACTCAACAGTTTCTGACAGGACTATTCTTGTTTATTGCCTTAAAATTTACTGTGAGAAAGTTTTGATCAAGTGTTGGTGGTGTAATCCATCCAAAAAGTATGTATGGGTATGGAACTATGTGAAAGATACCTAACAGTCAGCCTAAAAAAACAACATCTGAATGATTTGGGCCGACTTTCCAGTTTAAACAAAAAACATTATAGGCTTGAAATGTATCTTGTGATTAAAATAAATGTTGATGAAAGGAATTTAATCTTTGTAATAGATTTTGTGCTCTTTGCTCTGACATTGTAGCTGCTTAATTTAGCAAAAAGAAATAATGTTAGGTAACAGAAATGGAGTTCTCCAAAGAAAATCTCCTGGAAATTTTGGAATAAACAAATACTGCCAAAGTGAATTATTCTAAAAGACAGAAAGGAAACTGCATTTAAAGAAAGTGAACAGAGGAGGGAGCTGCAGATAGAATTTTAACTATATGAATGCAACTGTTTTTGTATTTGAGATTTCTGATATATACTAATATAAATGAGCATATTTATTAAAAAATTGTATTACACATAAAAATGACATGTTTCTCTATTTGTGAATTGGTAGTGTTTGCTCAGAGGAAAAGAATGCCACAGGATCAATTCTAGATTTGTGATTAAAGATAATTACATTCAGAACTGTTTCTTTCATGAGGAAACCATTTTTTCCGAGGTTACTCCGATCTAGGGGGCAAAACTAAATAATAATAACACTTTAAAAAGAAGAATGATTTCTCTGGCTTTGCCACCATCCAGTCTGCCTGGACGCTTATCTCTGAAAAGTGGCTTACATGTGATACACTATGATATTTATTTGCCTCCTGTTTCACTGGTTTGCTGATGATGCCTTCTGTGTGCAGCACTGGGTAAGGCCCAGTGCTTTCACTACTGGTTCTGGGAGATGTCTACACTGAGACGGCCCTGCCATATTGCAATAGGTGTTACTAATATCTTTGCTAAGGGGTCTTTTGTCACTGCAAATACTGCTGGCGTGGTATCCATTGACTCTCCAAAATATTGTCACCACTGCCATTTTTCCATAGCCCCTTTATCCTCTACTCATTTTTCATCCTAAGTAGATCTCTTTACCCTAATTTCCGTCAGACCTCAGAATAGGCTCAGTCTTGCTTAAAACCCAGAATAAAAGCGGTTTAGAATCAAGCTCGAATCTCAAAAGCTTTTAGGATAATTGTATTGTTATCCTTTGCAAAAGTCAGAGATAGAGGAGGGTGACCCCTATTGGTGAGTATATCTGAGACAATGTCTAGTCTGAACTTGCTCATAGAAGTAAGATACAAATACTTCCCGTAATTATTCCTCTAATAACACATTATCTATAATTTTTCTCATGTACATTTCAAATGTAAGCTTGTAGGATGATCTGGTTTACAAGGTTTTTGAGCCCTGATCCCTTTCAGGGGAAAAAAAACAAAATCTGAGATTCTGTTACTGTGAATACTTTTCACCACATTCAATCAACATTATTCATATGATGTGGGCTTTAGGTCCATGAGTAATAACTGACATTACTTCTTGTACCCAAAACACATATTACGTATGTTTTACTAAAAATACGTTTTGTGCAATCACTTTTGTGCTGGAAAACGGACACTGTCTCTAGAGCAAAGGGAACTTGCTGTGGATGTCAGAGGAGGAGCGATTCTCATCAGAATTCCTCACAGGAAGAAAATGAAGGCTAAAATCTTCTACAGGATTTGTTCTGCTGATGTTGCCATCTTAGGAAGAAATGCTGATAACCACCTGTTTTGCATTAAGATATATATGAATCTTGAGATGTGGAAAGTCTTTACAATTAAATTTTATTTTGTTCCTTGAGGAGCAGGTTTGTAAACATGTAAATTCCCCCTTGTTGGCAGTGAGATGACATGAATGAGGAACAAAATCGGTGATTTTTCTGAGGAAGAAATGAAAAATACTTCACAGAAGTTTTAACAAATTGAGATATAATTGACACATAACATTGTATTAGTTTCAGGTGTACAACATAATGGTTTGATATATGTATATATTGCAAAATGATTATCTGAATCAGTTTAGTTAACATTCATCACCTTATGAAGTTACACACTTTTTTCCTATAATGAGAATTTTTAGATCTACTTTCTTAGCAACTTTGAAATATACAACACAGTATTCTTAACTATAGCCGGCATGCTATACATTACAGCACTTGGCCTTATTTATCTGAAACTTTGTATCTTTTGACTATCTTCACCCATATCCCCCACCTCCCACCCCCATCTCTGGCAACCACTAATCTGTTCTCTGTATCAGTGAGCTTCTTCTTCTTCTTCCCCTTCTCCTTCTTCTCCTTCCTCTTCTCCCCCTTCTCTTTCTCCCCCATCATCTTCTTCTCTAGATCCCACATATAAGTGAGACCATAAAGCATTTGTCTTTCTCTGTCTTATTTTACTTAGTATAACGCCTTCAATTTCCATCTATGTTGTTGCAAATGGCAGGATGTCCTTCTTTTTTATGGCAGCATAATATTCCACTCTAGTATTGTGCATTGTTGGTGGGACTGTAATTTGGAATACCCACTATAGAAAACAGTATGGAGGTTCCTCAAAAAATTAAAAAAATTGACTTACCATATGATCTAGTAATTTCACTTCTGGATTTATCCAAAGGAAACAAAGTCTCTAACTCAAAGAGATATCTGCACCCCATGTTCATGGTAGCATTACTGACATTAGCCAAGACATGGAAACAAACTAAGCATCCATCAGCAGATGATTGGGTAAAGAAAAAAAATAGATATATATACACATACAGACATACACACACAGAGACACAAAAATTCACTTTATTCTGATTGTCACACATAACCACATACTGTCAAACACACATCATGCCTTATCCAGCATAATGATCATGTAATAATAATTCACATATGACCAAACTACTTTCCACATTTTTTGGTAAAAGTCATTGGACAGGAGAGTATAAATATATTTATTGCTTGGCAATGATTATAGGATTTAACAAATAAGTGTTATCTTTCAGGGATTTGAAATGGACATCTGTGAATAAAGAGATTTTTCCTTCTTGGTCTTTGAATGCTATAAGAAGTAAGTACTCTAGCTAGAAAGCCTCAGTTCCAGACATGTGTGATGGTTGTTGACAGAATTATGGCCCCTAAGAAGATTCATAGTCTCTAATCCCTGGGACTATGAATATATTACCTTACACGGCAAAAGGGAAATTTGCAGAGATAATTAAGGTTACTAATCATTTGATGTTAAAAAAGGGAGATTCTCGATTTTCTATGTAGATCCAACATAAGCACATGAACCCTTAATCCAGAAGAAGACAGAAGAGGAAGTCAGAGATGCAAGAGAAGTCAGATTGGGTTGAAACTCTAGAAGGATTT